CTCCTTCTCAGTATAAGATGCCAGTCCAACCACTAAAGAATAGATCATTTGTCACTTAGGAATGGCAAAATTATGTGCCATTTTCCCCCATCAATTTTTGTCCATTTTGGAGCCTAAAGGCAATCAAGAAAAGTGCAATTAAAGCACTCAAATTGCCAACATTGGTAAACACGTACACTTTGTAAGACTAACACAGGAATCTTTTGCCCTGCTCCTCCATGGACAGGGCTCTGATGAGCATGGCTTTAAATGGAATCCAAGCATCTTCATCTTGGTAGGTACAGCTACCAAGAGAGTAGAGCAACATTTCAGGTATAAACTAGTCTATTCCTGAGGAGATCATGTGATATTCACACTCATGGTGGAAGATTCCTGAGGAGAACATGTGATATGCACACTCATGGTGGAAGAGGCAATCTCACCACACACCAAGGCTCTCCTTGCAGGTAGAGCAGACAAGCCCTGGGTAGGACTAGAATGCGGAGTTCACAGGCTCTCTGCCCTACCCCCATGACACCCTTTTGTGCCAGAGCCTGGGTTTTGCAGCAAACTCATTTCAGGCCAGGGAACCGTGGGTGCAACAAGAATTGTAAGCAGTCTATTAAAACTCTGGAAGTGGCCAGTCCTGCTGCTTTAATCATTAATTCACCAGAGAAACAATATGATGATAGATAGGGTACCTACCATTCATGCAAGGTAACAATAGAAGGGACCCCCCCTAAACTGATAAAGGATATGAAGCCAGCTGTTAATGTTCTCCCTGTTCTAAATTCACCCTTTAATATCTTCTCTCTGATAATGGATGAATTACTTTAAGCATCTCTCCTTCAAAGTGATCACAATGTTACTGAAGGAGAAAGTGGCTCTCCTGTGACTTCTGGCTGTCAGAAGTGTGGGTGTAAGGATATCCTAGGTGCTCGGCCCCAAGCATGTACCCAGAACAACTGTCCTATCGAGTGTGGCCTGGTCATTGGCTTTCTGTGGCCCTCTGCATAGGGACATCCTGTGCTCCAAGCCAGCCACCTATCCGCTGATTTCCTCTAATTGATTGCTCTCCCGACCCACCCCTCCTCACCACTAACGTTACCTCCTGTACTTCTCCCAAGGCTGCAGCCCTTACAACACCAAGGCCCTCCGGATCCTATGTATAGGACATTGTTAGCTCCAGGCCTCCAACTCCACCAGGACCCTTGCTCCTACTACACGTCTACATGCTGGCCACCAGCAGTGGCTTGTCCACACTGATGTGCTCCAGAGGGTACCTTCCTGCTTACCTTGCAACTGTAGACCAGCTGTGGTTCTGCAGACCTGCTCTGGCGCTGGCAAACCAGAAAACTTCTCTGCCATCCAGTAGGTTCTCCTACACCTTCTCCAATGAGGTGTGACCTCCAGTCTTGGGGAGGGACCCGCATTCCAAGTTTGTCTTTCCTTGCGTATGCTCCCTCAGGCCCAGGATACCATATAGAGTTTTCCTATATCTTATATATTCTACATTTGTCATAGTTTAATAATTCTTTATGTTAAACATTATGCTTCACTTTATGTTAAAATTCCCCTGTCCACTGTATACTTTCCATATCCTGATTGGATCCAGATTGCTACAGAACACAACACCTACAGCAAATATCATTCCTGGAATTACTGAAAGCCTTCTTTTGAGAGCTGCATCAAGTAAGAATGTCCACTAACACCCAGAAAGAGTAGTAAGGGGAAAAAGAAGGAATAAAATGCTCGGAAAAGAAGAAGTAAGACTGGCATTGTTTGCAGATGACATGATTGTGTACACTATATTCTACAGGTATTTTCAAATTGGTAGAATCAATAAAAGAGTTTAGATAGCTGTTTGTAGGATAAAATATCAATATACAGAAGCCAATTGTATTCTATTTACCATCAACAAATTTACAAAATGAACATTTCAAAGGCAGTATTTGCAAAATATGAAGTACCTAGGATAAAATGTCCTCTTATAGGAAAAATATGAAGTATTATTGGGACACATTAAGGAAGTTCTTATTAAAAGGAGAGATAGACCATATCTATTCAATAACATTCCATATTATTGACAAGGAGTCAAATCTAAAAGTTCAAAGCAATCTTAATTAGAACCTCAAACAAGATTTTGGTTGAAACTTTTCTGATGAATTGATAATATAAGTGGAGTTGAGACAGGCCAAAAATAACCTAGACATTCTTGAAGAACAAGGCAGAATTGAGTGGCCTTATCCAAAGATCAGAATTGTTTACAGATCTGTAGTAATTAATATTGATATGTGGTATTTAAAATGGACAGATAAATAGAGCCATGGTACTTAATAGAGAGTACACAAACTAGCCCATACATAGGTAGATGCGTGATTTATGACACATGTGGCACTGCAAATCAAGAGTAAAAGGGCAGACTTTTCAATAAGTGGTTCACTGAGACAATCAGATATCCACATGAAGAAAAAAAATGAAACCCTACTCAACACTATACACAAACATCACTTGTAGGTGGATTATGACCTAACTGTGAAAGGCAAAACCACAAATATTTCAGAAGGAAATATAGAGAATATTTTCATTGCCCCAGGGCAGGGACAGATTTCTTGAAACAGAAAAGCACTAACCACAGGAAAAGAATGATAAATTTGACTATGTTATAATTAAGTATGTTATAACTAAGATTTGTTCACAAAGCATGGCCTAAAGCAAGAGAAAATACAAACAACAAAGCAAAGGACTATTTTGGCCACACATATAACCACCAATGGACTGGTATTTAAAACACAAAGAACTCATTGGATCAGTAAGGACAAGATGGAAAATAGAATAGAAAAATGGTGAAAGAGTTGAACATAAACAGGCTTTTCACAGAAGAGAAAATCCAAGAGGTTCATAAACATGAGAATGTGCCCAAACTTAATAGTAGTGGTAAAAAACAGTAAATTAAATTCTGGCAATACTTGGTGTAGATGAAGATGTGCAGGAGCAGGAACTCTCTGTGTTACTGGTGGGATTGTAAATTGGTACAACCACTATAGAAAACAATTTGGCATCGTGTCGAAAAGCTGAAGATATGCATACTCTGTGGGCCAGTGATTCTGTTCTTGCATGTATACCCAAGAGACTTTTAAACCTGAGTCCCATGAAAAATGTCCAAGAATGTTCATTGTACCATTGTTCATAATAAAAAGCTAAAAACAACCCTGGATGAACCCAGTGTTCATCCAGTGTAGAATGAAATAATCATATCATAATCACTTTGCTAAAATCATGCACTGGAATGCTAGTCAACAATGGAGACAAAAGATCTACGGCTACTAGGAACAACATGATGAGTCTCTCAAATAAATATGATACACAGTGAAAGAGGCAGGCCATAAAAGGGAGCATGCAGCATGATTCTTTTGATATAACTTCATATAAACTGTATTGTTTAGGGATGCATACAAAAGTTGTGAAGTCATAAAAAAAAGCACTGAAATGATTATCACAATGTCAAGATAACGACTATATCTATAGGGGAGGGTATGGTTTGTGATTGAGAGGAATACGGTGGATGTATTCTGGAAGGCTGGCAATGGTCTATTTCTTGACCTTCGTCCTGGTTACACGGGTGTTTGCTTTTATAAATTATCTAAGCCTGGCAGATATATTTTATGCATTCCTCTATACCTCAGATTTGAAAAAAATGTTTCCTCCAAAAAATGTAATAGAAAGAAAAATATGTGATGTAGAAATTTTGAAGAGGTTTGAATCGTTATGGATGAAAAACTTGAACTTTTAATCAAGAGATTAGCAAGTGTCCATTATCATTAAAAGAGGGAAAATAAGGGATTACTTAAACTATAGGTATCCCATAATCTAGTCATCACTCTAAACCTTTCTCTTGCCAGATTAATTCACCCTGTATTTATATCAATTCCCAACTCACTGATAACAGACAAATTGAAGGATCATCATCAACATTAATAAGATCATTAGGCATCACAGGCCAAATCCATTATAGTGAGACTAGGTCGCCACACTTAAATGCAAGCAGGCACATTGGGGCTATTGGGCATGCAAAAGGCATCTGTGCCTTCTTCTCAGGAGAGTCCACTGCAGTAACTTAGGGTTTAAACTTTTCGCATTTAACTAGTACTCTTGTCCAGAGACCTTCGTGTGCTGGAGAATCTAGAGTAAGCTGTAGAATGTCCTCTTCATGCTGTGAGATTGGACATAAAATTTACCATGGTGCAACCAATGGTGGAAGAGCAAAGAGTTGGTTTAGGCTGTGTACCTTATAGGGAGAATCCAGGAGTGGGTTGGGTTCTCCAGATTTCAATATAAATTGTTTCATCCTCCAGGCTTTGCATTTCTAGGCTGAACAGTGCTAATCTGCTTCGGCCCCACTCAATCTAGTCTCTGCACCAGCAGGACAAAAAATTTAACTATGCGACAAATTTTCCTAAAGACATTGCTCAAGACAGTTCTGGATATGGAAGCTTTTCAGGAAATTTTTTTAAAAGACAACCTTTTCAGTAGGAATTGGTGTCACTATGGTTGTTTAGTCTTGACACATAGCGTATTCTCTCAGGAATTTTCTGTCATCCATTAATCCAGCCATCCATCCAGTAAACAATGTTTAATACAGGATAAGTGCTAACCACCATGTTTAGCACTGGGAGGGGCTGGGGGTGTGTTTATTTTGGTACATAAATCGGTAGTGAGGTACCGATTTATGTTGCATTTAGCAGATAGATAGCTAAGGTATTCATTCCAGCACCACTTCCCCTGTATCTGGGAAGACCTCCTTGATTTCCTACTAATATTAACTGTGGAACTTATTTATGTATACGAGGCTCTGCCCCTGGGCTTTCTATTCTGTTCTAGAGACCCAGTGCCAGAATATTTAAATCACGGTGGCGTTAAACACGCTTTTATATCTGATAGGGCCAGTTTCTGCGCATTGCACATTTTTTTTTTTTTCCTTTCAGGAACGTGTTCGGGCCCGCGGCAGGGGGCGGGGTCGCGCCTCCTCCGCGATTCTGGTTCCAGCGGAGCCTCATGGACGCGGAGATGGAAATCCCGAGGCTGCTCCCGGCTCGCGGGTCGCGACAGGGCGGCCGCGCTGGCAGCCCCGGGGGCGGCGGCCGGATCCACGGAGGTCCTGACCCGCGAGCCGGCCAGGCCCCCGCGCGCCGCCTCCTGCTGCTCCGGGGCCCCCAAGATGGCGGGCCCGGGCGGCAGCGTGAGGTGGCCAGCGCGGCCTCCCCGGGCCCGGGCCCTAGCCCGTTGGTGCCGAGGCCCGATCACGCTGGCGGTGGCGGTGGCGGCGGCGGCGGCGGCGGCGGCGGCGGCGGCGGCGGCGATGGCGATGGCGATGACTTCTTCTTGGTGCTGCTGGACCCGGTGGGTGGAGACGTAGATTCCACGGGCGCCAGCCAGGCCGCAGGGCCCCTATGGAGGGAGGAGGCCGGGCTGGGCCCACGATTCCATGGGCACGAAAGCGGCGCGAACCCCGAGGGCCGCCCTGCGCTGGGCCCCAGCTCCCTGTCCGCTATCCGCGCCCCAGTCCCGGCCCTGGCCCGGATTCCCGCCCCAGTCCTGAGCCCCGCCGCGGCCTTCGCGGGCACCGTCACCATTCACAAACAAAACCTGCTGTTGCGCTTCGAGAACGGCTTCCTCACCCTGGCCACGCCCCCGCCGCCAGCCTGGGCGCCTGGGGTCGCCCCTGTCCCGCAGCTCGGGGGTCTGATCGCCCCGCAAGCGGGGATCCCGCACGCCGCGCAGCCTGGGGACTGTCCCGAGCTGCTGCCCGACCTCCTGCTGGCCGAGCGGGCCGAACCCGCGCCCGCCCCAGCTCCCGAGGAGGAGGCGGAGGGCCCGGTTGCTGCTGAGAGTCCCCGCGGGCCGCTAGGCCCGGGCCAGGGCGTGGTGCTGTACCTGTGTCCTGAGGCGCAGTGCGGACAAACCTTTGCCAAGAAGCACCAACTGAAGGTGCACCTGCTGACGCACAGCAGCAGCCAGGGCCAGCGGCCCTTCAAGTGCCCCCTGGGCGGTTGCGGCTGGACCTTCACCACCTCGTACAAGCTCAAGAGGCACCTGCAGTCACACGATAAACTGAGGCCCTTTGGCTGCCCGGCAGAGGGCTGTGGCAAGAGCTTCACCACGGTGTATAACCTCAAAGCACACATGAAGGGCCATGAGCAGGAGAACTCATTCAAATGCGAGGTGTGTGAGGAGACCTTCCCCACGCAGGCCAAACTCAGCGCCCACCAGCGCAGCCACTTCGAACCTGAGAGACCCTACCAGTGTGCATTTTCGGGCTGCAAGAAGACGTTTATCACAGTGAGTGCCCTGTTTTCCCATAACCGCGCCCACTTCAGGGAACAGGAACTCTTTTCCTGCTCCTTTCCTGGCTGCAGCAAACAGTACGACAAGGCTTGTAGGTTGAAAATTCACCTTCGGAGCCACACTGGTGAGAGACCTTTCCTTTGTGACTTTGAGGGCTGTGGCTGGAACTTCACCAGCATGTCCAAACTCCTTAGGCACAAAAGGAAGCACGACGATGACCGGAGGTTCATGTGTCCTGTAGAAGGCTGTGGGAAATCTTTCACGAGGGCCGAACATCTGAAAGGCCACAGCATAACCCACCTGGGCACAAAGCCTTTTGTGTGCCCCGTGGAAGGCTGCTGCGCCAGGTTCTCTGCTCGCAGTAGTCTCTACATTCACTCCAAGAAACACTTGCAGGATGTGGACACTGGGAAAAGCCGATGCCCAGTCTCCACTTGTAATAAATTCTTCACATCCAAGCACAGCATGAAGACCCACATGGCCAAAAGGCACAACCTGCGCCAGGATCTCTTAGCTCAGCTAGAAGCTGCAAATTCTCTTACGCCCAGCAGTGAACTTACCAGCCAAGGGCAGAATGACCTCGGTGATGCAGAGCTTGTGTCTCTCTTCTCTGATGTGCCCGGTAATACTTCTGCTGCCGTGTTGGACACCGCATTGGTGAACTCTGGGATCTTGACTATTGATGTGGCTTCTGTGAACTCAACTCTGGCAGGGAACCTCCCTGTTAATAATAATTCCTTAGGGCAGGTGGTGGACCCTCAGGCCTTGATGGCCACCAGTGACCTTCCTCAAAGTCTGGATACCTCACTCTTCTTTGGAACGACAGCCGCTGGTTTTCAGCAGAGTCCCTTAGATACAGATGATGTCTCAAGTCTAAGTGTGGGGCCTTCAGGATCTCTGAGCTCTTTGTCTATGAAAACCTCGAGTCAAGAGCCCCAAGCTTTGACCCCCAGCAGTAAGCTAACAGTAGACACAGACGCTCTGACTCCTTCGAGCACCCTTTGTGAAAACAGTGTCTCAGAACTACTGCCGCCAACCAAAACGGAATGGAACGTACATCCTGATTCTGACTTCTTTGGACAGGAGGAAGAAACCCAGTTTGCATTCTCCAATCCAGCAGGAAATCATGGGTCTCAGAAAGAAACAGATCTTATTACAGTGACTGGCAGCTCATTTTTGGTATGAACTAAACTCTATCCATTCCTTGCCACATGGCTTACTTTTATTGATGACACTCAATTTTAAGAGTATTCTGGACTAAATGTTTAAATGCAGTCATTTCTTATAGGTTTGAAAAAGAACAGAGCCCTGGGCTACAAGTTTGGAGATTTAAATTCTGATCTTGAGTCTGGAACTGACAGATTGTGTGACCCTGAGCAAGTCACTTATCCTATCTGAGCCTTAATTTCCTTATTTATAAAATGAGGTGGTTTGAATAGATTGTTTCTAAGGTCATTCCAGCTCTATTTTCATCATTTTGTGCTCTTCCTTGAAAATTTTAAGACCTTTTAAAATGATTAACAATTGCATGTGCTCCTAATGTAATGAAAAACGCATTGAGAGTTAATGATATGAGAAGATGTAACTGGTGTTTAACTTTAAAAATTTAATGAAAATTTTACACAGTGCTAAAATGTTTCTAAAATCTTGTGGTGAGCTTAAAAAGGAAGAAAGCTGAAAATCTGGGTTGGTTCTTTTTACCTGTTTATCTTTGTAGCCTCTTTTTTTTTTTTTTTTTTTTGATGGAAGACTGTGTTGGGGAAAGTCCCAGTAATTTGATGAGACTCAGGCTCAGAAATACTGACTTTGTGGTGTTGAATAAGTGGCCTTATTAAGTCATTTCCTCTCACTAACCCTCAGTTCCCTAGGTGTAAAGCTGTTATTTTAATTTACACATACCTGATGCATTGTAGACTTCTTCTCTCCTAGTAGTTAGGTATGGAGAGAAAAATGTTTTGTATTTTGGCTGTTTTAGTGAATTTTTACACCTTTCCTGTCCCTCTTATTCCCTTCCTCAAAGAAATTAGCATAATTTAACACCATGCTCATGTGCAGGCACTAATGCTTTATGCAGGTTAAGAAACAGAAAAGGGAATCTCTTTCTTCCACAGATTAAGGATTTTTCTCCACACTATTCTCTGACTTTGCCAACTTTGCCAGTGTCTTTACTCTTGCATTCAAAGCCATCCTATAGAGTGACCGGAGAGCCTGTGGTTCCAAGGAAATCTGGGAATAGGCCAGAGTAAGGTTTTTCTCCCCTCTGTGCCCTGGAGAGCTCATTGTTTGCCTTCTCCCAGAGTTGGAATGAGAGTTTTACTTTGCATTTTGAGTAAATATTGTCTGTCTTACTTGAGTATAGCATTTTACAGTTTATGTAGCACTTTCACAACTGTTATATTTGATCTTCACAATATTTTAAGAGTTATGGAAAAATTTCAACTATAAGACATATTAAAATTTACCTAACTCTTGCTTAGTAACTCTTGTGTGTGTGTGTGTGTGTGTGTGTGTATGCACATCAACTTTCATTCTACTCTTCTGAGTTTCATGATGACTTTGTTTATAACCACTTGTTCCATTCCACATTAACATATGTCTCTTACCTTCTGCCAGCTCTGCTCCCTCTCCAACCTATTCTCTAGCATGTCCACTCCATTCCTTGCCATGATCTCTCTTTTTTTTTTAAATTAGGTAAGCCTTTTTCATGGTCACCATCTCTCAGCCATTCAGGACATGGCCCATTTTTCAGTCCCAATATTTACTGCAAGTCTGAGTGTGCATTAAGAAATTATTTTCTGGATTTAGAGGTCAGTGTGTTTATATATGAATCAAGTAATAATGGAAATGTTTTATATAAGGTTTTATGAGACATGTAGTTCTTCTATTCTTCTAAAATTTTTAATGTAGTTCGGCTAGCAAACACTATTAGTTGCTGTGAAATATTCTAACCCAGTACTGTTTGTATGTACATTTGTCGATAACAATTATAGCAGTTTGGCAGTGCACTTTATAATTTGCCATTTTGAAATGCATCTGTACTGTCTAATTTTTAAATTGGTTGTACTCATTCAGTGAAAAAGCAAAAAGTATACATAAATTTGAAATCCAAAGAAATGGTCAGAGTGTGATTTTTTGTAACCGTTTAACAGTTCTCCCTCAGCATTTTGGAAGGATTTTTAAGCCCATTTTAGAAATGTGTTGTCATTAGTTAAGTCCTCTTAAATAAGTTATTCTCCTTTTCCTACAGATTGGAATGCAGAAATCCCAGGTGAACATGCAGGCCTTAAGCATCTGTTAATATATATAACCATAAAAATATTTTAAAATCCTGTCATTTTGTTTCTTCAATCCCTCATTAAAAACAATCATGCTTTTGTTCTATTCTGTGGAATTGTCAAAGGAAAGATTTTACTTTTCTTGAAGATAAAAATCTTGTAATTATTTATGGGCCCACATGGTTTCTTTCAGTCAATTTGTTCAAAAGATTTCCCATTCAATACCATTTTTCCAACATGATGGTGAAAATAGCATGAAGTTACAGTCAAAAGTATCAGTACAAACATAATGGTTACATTTTTGTTAGTGTTGGCATAAATTTGCCATTTAAAAAAATGGGGTATGGTTTAATGTTATCTCACTTGCTTTTTGTGCTTCTTCAGTCCTTGGTTTATTAAAATTTTGCCAATTGAAAACACAGTAACAAAATACTTTGCAGGAAGGTTTGCATCCAGGGGACTCTTGAACATATGAATATCATGAGTTAAAATACCTTTATTTTGACATTTTTACCCTGGTCTCATTATAGTATTACATAATTGAAAGGCTTGAGTAGTAGAAGTGAAACTTGATAGAATATGAGGGTCATTTTTCTCTGGATTAAATACTTCATATTCCCATCCAGCAAAAATGAGAGAAGGGTATTTATGACTGTTCCTTGATTCCAGATAAAGCATTGATTAATTGCCTGTTTGGGAATATCCATAATCCCTTAGTAATTACTGATATCAAACAGATCCATTTGATGATTCGGTAATAATAAAACCTAATTTAGATGCAGCTCATTCAAAATATTGATAATAGTGATAATTGAAATATAAGGCTGAGCTGAAATTTATGTAATTTATGTTTTTGAACAAAAGATTTGTTTAGCAATACATTAGAAAGTGAAATGTGTTTTGCACATTTAGAGAACAGGTTATCAAGCACTTTGTCAGACCACAACTATATATTAAAAGCAAAGCACTCATTACAAATGAATTTTTTATATTTTTCAAATCTGATTTGATTTGGTAACAATTTTTAAGCTAGGGACCTCATTGTATATTCCGAGTAATTTACTGACTATATACAAAAATACAAGGTAGAAGAGTACTAAGGATGTAGATAAGAGGTATAAAATGTGAGCTACTTCTTAATTTTGGAGAGGACATAGGAATTAAATATTTCACATCTAAACAATATCAGCAAGCATGTTTTCAGACACTGACTTAATGGCTTGGAGGGAAAGGAGGGGCAGTAGCTATGCTTTAATGGATGGCTAGATTTAGTTACATAGATAAGAGAATAGGTGAATTCCAGCCAGGAAAAAAAAAGCACAAGGAAAGAATTTGAAATGGAATTGGCCACACAACACGGAAAGACAACCTAGCTCAAATGCAGGACGCCTGTTTGATAAGTGCTAAGTGTTAGGCTTAGACTGCCAATATGGAGCCAATCTGAAGAGTTAAGAAAACCAGTCACAGTGGATAGGACTTTATTCTGGACATGGTTAAGAGTCAGTGAAGATATTTAAGAAGAGAAGTCAAATGATGAATATATAGAAAGTTTAATATAGTAGACATGTACAATGTGAATTTGATGAGGAGAGATGATAGGAAAATCATTTAGGAGTCTATTGTAATAATTTCAGGGTTCTGTGATGAAGGTTTGGACTGGGGTTGTGGCAGAAAAGGACAGATTGGAGATGTTTCTAAATTGGAGAAACAAATATAACTTGGTGACTCACTGAATATATGAAACATTTATGAGAAAAAGGAAGATCAGAAATGACTCTAAAGATTTTTTTTGTTGAAACTAAAAATTACATTTCTTTAACATGAACAATAGTTTGGGTATTGAAGTCTTTTCAAGAATATATATTGAAAGATAATTAGTTCAGGCCATGTTTAATTTATTGGGAAGTGATAAATCAGTTATCCCTGAACAAACTATACATATTGTGGATTATACACACCGCTAGACAGTGAGTGCCATTTCATCTCCCTTGGCTCCCTCATGTATTCTCAGATTTATATTCAACGTTTGTACTCTTGTTTGCCTTTGAGTATTTACAGGCCTCTTCAACCTCATACAATATCCTCCCAGAATACACTGCGTCAAAATGAGCTATGTCACCTTTGTCTGACAGTTCTTTCTTACTACTACTCTCTTCCCTACTATGGATATTCAACGGATGTTTTATGTGGTACTTAGTAATATAATAAATCATTTCTCCAGAATTTGGAGCCATGGTACTTAGTCATTAATTTCAATAGTTCCTCAATATAAACTGCAAAATTGAATTTTACCTGTATTTTTCTCAGATTGGAAGTGATAGGGCTAGAATCGTCCAAAAATAACTTCCATGTGATCCTTGGGTCTCCTTACTCATAATCCCCTCTGTGACTAACTAATGTGGTGTGGGAACTCAGTCACAGGGATCACATCCTCTCTTATTTACATACCCTAGCATATTTTCTCCTTTTTCTCGTTACTCTTACCACTAATGGTGATAACTCAGGAGGAATGGAGTCCAAAGAAAGAGTGAGAGAGTAAATAAGTAGCATAAATAACTACCTAACAATTACATTTTTTTGATGGTGAATTTTGCTGTCCTGCATTGTCGACAGAAGGCTTCATCTCATTCTAATTTTCTGCTGACATTTATGGACCTGAAAAACACTTGGCCTACAGAAAACAATTCATCGTTTTAAACAAAGCCAGACAATGATTCTTAACACTAATAAACTGTGAATCCCTTAGGAATATCTCGTATTGTTATCAGCTTATTAAGAAGCTGGTAATTATTGAGTGCCTACTCTGTGTGAGATACTATAAGGTTTAAAACAAAAGCATATTTTATCAATTCATTCAAACAAACATTTTTGAGCACATATTTGACAATTTCTGTTGTTATGCTCACAAACATTATTATCTAGACAGAGAAAGAAAATCTCAAGCAATGAAAAATAATATATAATCAAGTTCTAAATGGTTACATTTTGGAATAATAAAGGATTAAATATTAGCTGTCATTCTTAGAGTATGGACTAAAAATCGTGATAAGGAAAAATTCAATGCACAGATTATCAAAGGTATTTCCAAAAATTCTAAGAATCTAAAATTTAATCTGGCATACAGCAGTTAGATTAAACTATCCTAAATTAAAATTTAAACAAAAATTTGAGTGATAGCTTAAATAATTATAGCAAAATTCTTTGGTAAATAACTTTTAAATTATGCTTTATTTTTATTTATTCTAAATTGGAATCCTGGATGTAGTGTTATATATGAAAGTGATCATATAAAATAAATATGTTATTTTGAATATGTTATTTTGAAAGAGAAAACTATAGAATATAAATAAATGGTGTTAAGATAAATAAAATTTCCTTTCCTTATATTACACATAATAGCAAATTTTAATTTTCTGAAATAAAAAACAAGGACTTTAATTTGAATGTAACTATTTCATATAGGTACACTAGTTGAAAAGAAGAGTATATCAATTTCATGTGATATTTAGGACTGAGAACTGGAATTTAGCATGGTGAACCCTGAGAATTCACCAATTATGTGGTGAGGGTCAGATTAGTCATCAAGCAAGAATTTAAGATTATGAATAAAATATAAGTAGCTTAACATATTTGGAAAGGGGAACAAAGTCCACCATAGCAAAATAAAACTCTCTTTAGTGACAAGCAACACTACATTTCCACGATGCAAAGCAATTACAAATGGTAGCAAAAACAAAGGTATTTCAACTCTAGGCATTCTCACTTTGGAATGAAGCCAAGAAATTATTAATCTTTATCAGGACCTACTTCCCTTTCCTGTTTACACAATACAATGGAGGGATATAACTGCAGTATGAGACTACATTACACTGGATGTGGAAGAAGGAAGCTGGTCACATATCTGTTTGTGGGGAAATTAGCCAAAACAGAGAGCTGAAGTGGAAATTCCTCAGGCAATGACTCAGTGAATAGAGCAGCAGTTCATTCCAGGCTAGTTCCAATTTTAGAATGTGTGCTACTGGACAGATATTTTTTTCCTCCTGATTCATGTTGGTATTAATTAATTAATGCCAAACATAGCACTTGATGTTTCTAATTGCCCCTTAAAGTCACCTTACGTTCCTGTGCTTCTTAGAGCTAAATTTTTTTTGTTAATTATCAATAATATCAATAAGAAGTGTCATCAGAGGCCATGACATACTAATAGAAAAAATGTCATATATTTATTATTTTTGCCTCACTTTCCAAAATGTTGATTAAGTAAAACTTATTTTTCTATTTTTTTTTCTTTGAAGATTCACTTTCCCATGGGTATGTCATTGTTTATGTACTTAGAAAGCAATAAGACTTGGGAGCATTGTTAAATAAGTGTTTGCAATTATAACCTTAGTAATTTGACTACCTTGAAAATTGGAGAAGCCTAGGCTAGATGTACTACTTTCCTAAGTAACAGAGAGGGCTTATGGAAAGGAATGAAGGACAAATTCATTGAGAAAAAGGAGATTCATTTCTGCTATTAAGTCAGACTTTGTATTTATCAATCTTACTGATTAATCTTGTACATTTTTACAGCATATTATAGTCTGCTTTTAGAAGACTCCATATACAGCACTGAGTCTTTCTTTAGATGAGACCTTAAAAAATTGATTTGTTTCATATTTAATTTTTATCGAATTATATTTGACATAACAATATAATGTTGGTTTCAGGTGTATGGCATAGTGATTTGATACTTTTATACATTATGAAATGATTAACACAATAAGTCTAGTTATCATCTGTCACCATACAAAGTTGTTACAATATTATTGACCATATTCACTATGCTGTGCATTACATCCCCGTGACTTATAGCTGGAAGTTTGTACCTCTTAATCCCCTTCACCCGTTTCGCCTGTTCCCCCACCTGCCTCCCCTCTGGCAACTACCAGTTTGTTTTCTGGATCTGTAGTAGACATTAGATAGTCCTTTTCACTACTAAATCTATGTACCAAATCTACTGAATATTGTAAAGACTTGCTGCATAGGATCTTGTTTGCAAAGTGATTCTGGTTGTCCTTCACCTTAGATTATTTTGGGGCAAAAAATTCCTCAAAGATAAAATGTTACCTGGACTTGCAAAAATTGTTAAGGATTCTTCCCCAAAACAGAAATGAAAATAAAATTTAAACAACAAAAAAAGAAGATAAGTTTTCTCTATAGCCAAGTGTTTTGGCTTTTCCTAAGTGTCTCTGGTCTACAACATCTGTATAAAAGCACGATGGCGATTTAAAAACACACCCAGTATTTTCCAGTTACAGTTAGCAGTATAAAACCTTCAAATAGATGTTATTGTAACATTGGTCATCTGTCTATCTAATACTATCTGGATTTCAGAAATTCCATGAGGATAGTAAGAAGTGAAGAGAAAAGTTTTCCAAATTTAGGCTTGCCTATTGAAATGCCAAAATGTGGTCAAATTAGATGCTGTTTATTTTACATGTTTGACGTGTTAGTGTTTGGTGCTTTCAACTATTTCTACTCCAAATAGTTGAAAAAGTATTTCAAAACTAAATGTGAGTATTTGATTCATGACATTAAAGTTGATAATTCATTTTTATTGATTTTACTTTGCAAGATTGATGCATTGTTGAATTCAGTAAACATTCAGATAACAAACTATAGATTATCTGTTTTGAAACTGCATTATATATTTTAATCATTCCTTGCTTTAAATTTTAAGCTACCATATATTGAATCATAACTGGGTCTATGAAGTATTTTATTTGTAAAATTTATTGTTTTTTATATTTTAATTGAAACAACATATATTATATACAGATCATAAGAATATGTAGCTACATGAATTTTCACAGAGTGAGTACATCCATGTAACCACTACCCAGATCAAGAACTAGAATACTACCAGAATCTAAAGTTCCTTCACGTCCTCTTCCAGACACTATTATCCTGAATCAAAAAAATATCTTGGCTTCTAAAACCATACATTCAGGCCTTTGTTTGTTTCTTTGTTATTATTTATTATTATTGAGATAAAATTCATGCAACATAACTCACTATTTTATCTATTTTAATGTGTACCATTCAGTGGGTTTTAGTACATTCACAATGTTGTGGAATCATCACAGACGGCCATTTCCAGAATATTTCATTATTCAAAAAGAAACCCCATACCCACTAAGCAGCAATCCCCCATTCCTCCCACCCCCTAGAAACTACTAATTTACTTTCTGTATCTATGGATTTGCCTATTCTGCATATTTCATCTGAATGGAATTATACAATATGTGACCTATTGTGTCTGGATTATTTTACTTAATATAATACTGTTTTCAATGTTTGTCTGTGTTATAGCATGTATCAGTACTTCATTCTCTTTGTGGCTGAATAATGTTCCATTGTATGGGTATACCACATTTTGTTTATTCATTCATCAGTTAATGGATTTTTGGGTTGTCTCCACTTTTGGGCTATTATGAATAATGCTGCTATGAACATTTGTGTACAAATTTTTGTATGAATATATTAAAACCATAGATTAGTTTTGCTTATTTTTAAGTTTTATGATGTGTATTCCTTTTGTGTTTGACTAATAAGTCAAAATAAGTAAAATATTACTCAACAGTTTGTAAGATTCAGCCATGTTTGCATGTAGAAATAATTCACTTTTTTCTTCTACAGAGTTTTATTGTATGCCTATATCATAATTACTTTTACATTCTGTTTATGGGCATTAATGTTTCCAGGTTTGGGCAAGTATTAATTATGCTGCTATGAGCATTCAAATATACCTTTTTTGGTGAGGATATGTATTCATTTCTATGAGTTATATACCAAGAAGTGGAGCTTGATATGTGTGGTTTTAGTAAATACTGTCAAACAGTTTCCAAAGGTTCTTGTACTAATTTACACTCTTACCAGCAATTATGAATGGTCTAGTTATTCCTCAACCTGACCGGGACTGGTAATGTTTGACTTTTTCATTTAATCATTCTAGAGTGTGTTTACTGGAATAGCATTGTAGTTTTAATTTACATTTCTCAACTAAAATCAGGAATTGTTGCCTAGGTAATTACAGAAGAAAGCTTAAGCTTATTTTAAAAATTTAGACGTAACAATTTATTTGAAATCTGCTTTATAGTGAATTTTCTGGAAGTTTCTGTGTTTCAGAGAAATAGAATGCCTAAGAAATGCATATTATGTACCTTTAGTTATTAATAAAAATCACGTTGTAAATTGACATAGAGACTTTTTAACTGTATCTCTGTATATTGCTGCTGCTATTAATTCATATTGGTAAAGTGTTTAGATAAAAATTATTGGAAAAATATGGAGATAAATTGAAGTTGGCTTGTGTTTTTTTTTTTTTAACACATCTTTATTGGAGTATAATTGCTTTACAATGGTGTGTTAGCTTCTGCTTTACAACAAAATGAATCAGTTATATATATACATATATTCCCATATCTCTTCCCTCTTGCGTCTCCCTCCCTCCCACACTCCCTATCCGACCCCTCCAGGTGATCACATAGCACCAAGCTAATCTCTCTGTGCTATGCGGCTGCTTCCCACTAGCTATCTACCTTACGTTTGGTAGTGTATATATGTCCATGCCTCTCTCTCGCTTTGTCACAACTTACCCTTCCCCCTCCCCATATCCTCAAGTCCATTCTCTAGTAGGTCTGTGTCTTTATTCCTGTCTTACCCCTAGGTTCTTCATGACATTTTTCTTAAATTACACATATATGTGTTAGCACATGGTATTTGTCTTTCTCTTTCTGACTTACTTCACTCTGTATGACAGACTCTAGGTCTATCCACCTCATGACAAATAGCTCAATTTCGTTTCCTTTTATGGCTGAGTAATATTTCATTGTATATATGTGCCACATCTTTATCCATTCATCTGATGTTGGACACTTAGGTTGTTTCCATCTCCAGGCTATTGCAAATAGAGCTGAAATGAACATATTGGTACATGACTCTTTTTGAATTTTGGTTTTCTCAGGGTATATGTCCAGTAGTGGGATTGCTGGGTCATATGGCAGTTCTATTTGGAGTTTTTTAAGGAACCTCCATACTGTTCTCCACAGTGGCTGTATCAATTTACCTTCCCAACAACAGTGCAAGAGGGTTCCCTTTTCTCCACACCCTCTCC